GTTTTGATAAGAGTTTTTCATTTTTCCTTTTCTTTTTAACCTCAGTTACTCTTTGATTTTGGATTGTTGGAAACAAGACCAAGACGAACGACCTAGTTTTCAAGAGATGGTTGGAAGACTGGAAGAACTGATGCATCAAGAAGTTGAATACTTTGATTTTAACCAAGTGGACGAGTCAAAAGATTATTATCAGGTGCAGGATTCAGAGGCTGAAGACTCGGAAGATGAGAATGACGATGTAAAACTCTAACTTTACAGCACATGATGGCTGACAACACTAGCTTAGTCTACTTTATTATTACCTTGTCGAGAACTGGGGCGTATTTTGCGGGCCAAAATAGAAGTTTTAGCTGTCCAAAATAACGTAGTAGTTGAGCAGAGGGATGAAAAGGAGTGAAGTTTTGATGAAGTAAGCCACCCGACATAAATCTCCTTTCCTCTTCTTCCGTCTAACTGCCATCCCTGAACACCCTCTTGCGGCTCATGTGACATAGAGCTTTTTGATCCTGCAGACACGTGAGTCAAGTAGTTTTGCCGGGGAAAGATTTAAGCGCAGTGAGACCTGTGACTCACGTCCTAAGATCTGTTGTTATCTGTTGTTACCATCGTTGTTATCACATCATCGTTGTTATCAAATCAAAGGTGCCAAACATCTAAAGTTTGAATTCACTGAAGGTTTTTTTTGGCAAGAACGGTTCTGAGCAGTACCCTCTTTCGATCTTTTATTTCCCCTGGCAGTTTTTATGAAATTTTTCATGCATATTCGGGCTGGCAGTCCATCGGGGATACCAAAGGCCGAGGGCGCCTAAGCGCTTCAAATCAGGTCGCTACACTACAAAAAGACTAACATCCTTGATTAAGGGTTTAGGATGCATCTCCGGCAAGATTAATTTGGAGAATATCCTTTTACCCCAAAATATCCCAGTTCGCCCCATAACATGTGATTTTAGTAAATCTGTAAAATGTGTTGAATGTCCTCGTTAAATTCCAGCAAATTTAATGTCTCCTGGTGCAAAACCCGAAAAACATCGAAATTGAGCCCTAAAAACATATTATAAGACATTCCTCATTCGAAAACATTTTTTAGTTGAAAAAATAAGTTGAAAATTGTTAGTTGAGTTCATATCACTCTGAGAAGCACCTAGAAATTGCTATGGTTTACATACACAATTTAATAAAAATAGATTAACGCACAAAGATACAAAGCTGAAAGTGTGAGTGTAGGTGTGTGTAGATTTGCGTGGTATGCAAATTTTCTTCCGCTTTCTTCCGCTTTCACAACACCTCTGTCTCTTCTGACAGGTCCACTCACATTTTCAAACACTATTAAAGCTCGGAACCTTGCCCGTTTGCATGTACTCGTTTGCATGTACTCGTTGTTCAATGCAAAGAAACCTCTATTTAACAAACCTCTCTCTAAATACGTCCTCGGTATAACGAACGATACTTTGCAGCCCAGCTAAATTACAGTAAAATGTATGCCACAGAACCTCGATATAGCGAGCACAATAAAATGCCCAAACATAGATAGATACCCCGATCTAACCAACAAATGTCAACACCTGACCAAAGACAAATGCGAAACGGACCAACAGTGCAGTACTATACAGTAGTGTTCTGTTGTTTAATAGTGTACACACTGTTCGTGTTCATTATGACATTTGACAAGTCAGGCACAAAAGAAAGGGAATTTCCGCGCTCTTTCTCTTGAATGAAAGGCGCAATTTAGCGAAAGACGACAATGAGGCAATTAGAAAATGTTTTATTAAGCGTCTTCAGCAATACCACAACGGCAATAGCTTTCGCTAATTTTTTTCATGGCGAAACTATGAAAAGGGTGTTATCTCCCAGAGCATAACTAATCACTATTTTATTTTAATCATTTTATTAATTATTCTTAAATTTAGATGAATGTAAGGTCACTTAAGCAACTACAA